AGCTCCATAATCTGTGATCTTCTCCACTTCTAGATTTATTTCTGTGTCTGTGAAAGGCATTTATTGTCATTAAAGAGATCGAAATCTCCAACAATCAGGTTCATATTTTTCTTCTTTTTTGGTTGCATTGTCCCAGTTTTTTAAACCTAAATTTATACGAAATTTACATTATTATACTTGTCCATTTTTACTCATTCTTTTTCTTTAAGGAGAAGCTATATCTATTTCATACTATCACCTCTGGTCTCCTTTTTTTAAAGCATACCACACAAAGGATCCAGTCCAGGAAACTTTAAGTCTTATTTATCTGAATATGATTTAACCATGACTTTCTGTAGGGCTATTGGGCAAAAAAAAAATATTCTGGGAGATGTATAAGTTTCTAAAATTTCATCCCCCCCCCCCCCCCCTGTGAAGCGGGGTTGGGGGGAGTTCTCATGCACAGAATGCACATATTCATGTACAATCAAGTGCAACAAGACTGTTGGTGTGTGACTTCTATCATGTTGATGTATCCATGTAAAAAAGAAGCTGGGGGGTTGAACTGTGTAACTGCTGCAGTGAGTCAGTTGTAAAAAATGCAAACATTGTGAACCTAAGAACATAAGAGAAGCCAATGTTGGATCAGGCCAATGGCCCATCCAGTCCAACACTCTGTCACACAGTGGCCAAAAATACCAGGTGCCATTGTGACGACTTTATTATCAAATGAGCACCCTTGCTGGGTGTCTGTTACTACACAAGGTACTAAGGAGTGTAATGCTTAATGGAAAACAAAGAGAACAAGACTAAATGTTGCTACTTAGGGTCTCTACGTATATGATCAAATCTGACAAAATTATAACACTGCTCCGTGGGAATCTGGTTTAGCTTGTATTTCTAGCAGCTAGGACTTTGGAAAAAGAGACAGTGAAGCTCAGGTAAACTCAGAATGTTGTAAGTAGTGGCTTCTTGTGTGATGTTCTCCCTCTGGAGTTTACCACAAGCTACAGAGTAAGGAGTGAATAGTGAATATTTTCTTCAAAGGCAACATTTCTCTCCTGTGAAATATGTCTTATCTAATGGGTTCCTGGGTATGGTACTTGAGACTATGTTTATCAAGCACAAATTGCAGATTCTCTTTAGAAGTGATCAGAAAGGAAATCTTCCACATGCAGCCTCTAAAACCCACACCTGGATTTTGATCTTACAGTAAGGATGGTACTGAATCAAAGATACCGTCTTAAAAGTTTTCAAACACACAGAAGTAGTTTTTTAAAAACTTTAACATGGTACATGATGAAATGTCTTCTGCACTTGAAAACTTTATAATAGCTTTGGCTTTTATTAAGTTTGGCTTTGTGGCTAAATTTGAGCCAAGACTTCTGAAAGTTTGACCTCTGAACCTGTTCTGAATGCAAGGGCTCAGTTTGTGAATATCTGAAGTAATAATAGGCAGTCTCTCTATTTGTAAAGTGCTTTTTCCTCATCACATATCTGGAATTAGGAAGAAGTACTTTCAGGTCAGAGGACACAGTTAAATGTAGCAATATGAAGAGTTTGATTACATAATAGAGTTGCCACCCTCCAGGTGGGGCCTGGAGATCTTCCACCTTTACAACTGATCTCCAGCTGACAGAGATCAGCTCCCCTGGAGAAAATAGCTGCTTTGAAGGGTGGACTCTGTGACATCGTACCATGCTGAGGCCCCCCCCCCCTCCTCCCCTCCACTCCCGAAGTCTCCAGGTATTTTCCAACTCAGACCTGGCAACCCTATCAGGCAGTATCCTCCCCCAGAAGGTATAGTTTTTTCAGAGCTCCTCTTGACTGCTGTAGCTCTTTCTGACTTCTGGAGGAATCAGTCTCAGGGTCACAGGACCATCTTGGGGGAACAAACATAGGTCTGCTGACGGGATGGGGCAATTTCATTCCATCATCCCTCCTCACTCCAGCCCATTGACTCTCATGGCTGTTCCTCTGCACAGATCCTGCAAACCCAAGAAAGATATTCCCAGGGATCAGAAAGTACTACAGCAGTACAGATGAATGTGGGAAAGCTTTGTATGCTTTCCACATACGGATGGTAGGACACTACCCATCAGGTTGAACTGTAGCCCGATATGATTCATGACCCCCAAAATGGCTGGCACCATTTTGCAGGATGCATTCGGTATGTTCTGTTGGGATTATTGCCAACCTCCAGGTAGGGGCTGAAGATCCAGGATTACAACTGATCTCCACACTACAAGTTCACTCATTTATTTATGTAAAAAAATCACTCCATTTCTCCTGAAGAAAATGGCTGCTTTGGAAGGTGGACTGGCATTATACTCTACTGAGGTCCCTCCCCTCCCTAAACCCCACCCTTCGCAGGCTACACCATCAATTCTCCAGGTATTTCCAAATCTGAAGTTGGCAACCCTAGCTCTTGGTCTCTGAGCTTTTGTCAGGTCTTTCCCTTCTCAAAGGACTGCCTAACATGTTATTCTAGCCCTTCTCAGTTCCTGAGGAGCCATCATCCATCAGGCAGGTAAGTCAAGTGCAAAACAACAGGTTCCATGACAGAGTCAGGCAATTTTGAACTAACAAGGAAGCATTCCCTTCACAAAGGTGTGATGGTTAAAGCATCAGACTAGGATCTGGGGAACCCAGGTCTGAATCCCCACTCTGCTGTGGAAGCTTGCTGGGTGATCTTGGGCCACTCACAAACTCTCAGCCTAACCTGCCTCACAGGGTTGATGTGAGGATAAAATGGAGAATAATGTAAGCTGCTTTGGGTCCTCATTGGGAAGAAAAGCAGGATATAAAGAAAGTAAATAAAATTCTCATAAACATATAGGCTCTTAAAAAAAAAATCCACCCCCCTAGGGGATGTAAGGCTGTTTGAAAGGAATGCCTTTATTTACAACTTTTTACTTCAGCCTTAGATTTTATATTATCAAAAATCAAAGATAAATGCTACAACATATCTTAAAATAACCAGGGGTTCCATTGCTCACCTAATTTGCCATCATACTGTTCCCACAGGTTCTGTTCCCAAAGGACAACTAGCAAAATACTACTGTTTTCTTTCACCAAAATGGAAGCAGTCCCTCCTCTCCGCTTTCCTGAAAAGCAGGAGCCTGAGCCCTCTTTCCTTAGCCTAGTTTACATGGAATGATGAGATCCTACTCTTGAAAATAGGAAACCATTTGCCAAGTAAATACAGCCGAGGTACTAAGAAGGACTTTTTTAAAAAGGCTACAATATTATAACCATTGAAGGGACTGACTTCTAAGCCTTTGGATCTTCTGAGTTTGCAAAACCTTACATTTCGGGGGGGGGGGGGATGACCTGATTCCCAAATTCTGAGACAATAGAACAAAGAGTTTAAGCATTTGTCATGAATTGTATCCTGGCTCTTCAATATTTGGAAGAATCCCTCATGTGTGAGGAAAGAACGCTGGAAATACACAAAAATCAGAATAAGAATAAAACAAAAAGTGCAGTGCTTTGAAATCATCTCATGCTTTTCCTGAAAACAGAGTTCTGTTGCTGACTGGAGGAACTTGCTCCATCGTTGGCTTATGGATCAGCTCTTGAGAGAGTTTTAAAAGAAATGCTCATTGTGCTGTTATAGGGAGTCCAGGAAAGAAGAGGTCAGAAGACTGGGAAAATTAAAAGCAAGAATTTAGTCAATGAGTTTAATTTTGTTTGTATTAGCGTTTGTTTTGGAAATTCAATACTCCTATTTATTCTTATCCCAAGTATCAAACCATGCAGAATGGAAAACAGCATTTCAGTCCCTTTTCAGAAGGAATAGCAAAAAGAGAGGCGCTGTACTTTGTCAGGAAATGGAAACTACTGAACAGCTCCTCAAGAGACTGAAAAATATTTCTAATCCTCACACTCATCAGAAGCTGAGAATTTATATTAAGGCATCGAGGCCCGTAGAGAGTTGATTGCATCCAGTAGTGAGCTTGGATGGCCCAGGCTAGCCTGATCTCATTAGGTCTCAGAAGTTAAACACTGGTTAGTATTTGGATGGGAGATCAGCCAAGGAAGTCCATGGTCACTACACAGAGCCAGATAATGGCAAACCACCTCTAAATATCTCCTGCCTTGAAAACCCCATGAGGAGTCACCAAAGACTTGGTGCGACTTGATGGCACTTCCCACCATCAGTAAGCTGTCCCTGGGAACCATGCTGTGCCCTTTAAAGACTGAAAACAGGCAGAAATTGGACAGGTACACAGACATGCATACATACAAGCTTGGGAACAGCTGCACCTGTTAGATTTCCACACTGCCTTTTAAAGGCACCTGGGCTCTGCCAGGTTTTTCCCCAATCATATGTACCTTTTTGACTTTCAGGGGTAGATTTTCAAAATTCTTTGCTGCCTCTTTATATGCTGAACTTCTACCTGCCAATACACCAAAACGTTATATTTGGCTAGCTTCTCTACTTTCGTGTGTGTATTTCAGAGCAATAAAGGGAACCCTTTAACGTCACTTGTTTTAAATATCTACATTTAGTTAGGTGCCCTTGGGAGGATCCTATGAACTCAAATAGGGAATCGAGAGTAGGAACTCTTTCTTTATATCCAGCCTTTCCCTGTAGTTCAAGACAGCTTGCAAATAATAATAAAAGACATTCCGATTTAAAGCCAACAAAGCCCCACATACAGTCGTCGTCGCCCCCCCTCCCCCGCAGGTTTTTCCATAGAGATGGCAACGGGGGCACACCAGGATTACATTTGCTTATTGCTCCCTGTTCACATTCCACCTAAGGAAGCATGCAGCTCCTCCCTTTCGTCAAACCAAGCTCTTCCTTCTGTTCCTCCGAGCTGCTCTAGCCACACCTTCGCAGCTCTATGCTTCCACCAGTGACCGCTCTGCCTCTGTTGTTTAGGGGAAACTCTATCGTCCCTGCCGGGGTTCCCATCACGTCGCACCTTATGAATAATCAAAAGTGATAATGAATATTTATTAACTGAGTGTGGGCGGGGCCGGGGGTGGTCGTGAAGTGGACCTGGCCAGGCTCGGGCGTGCGGGGCTTTTCCGAGCTCATACATGGCTCCCGGGACAGCCGGGCTGGGCAGTGCCCGGTGAGTGGAACTGGGGGCGACGGTCTCTGGCGTGAGGGTAGGAAGAAGGAGAGAATGGCTGGAGTTCGTGAGGTTGCTGTGAGGAAGGGAAGCATTTTGAATGGGAAACGGAAGGGTCGCCGGTGGGGGGTGGGGGTGGGGCGGAATTCCGTAGGGCGATCGCAGACTCTCTACTGTTATCATTAAAAAAGGGGTTTACACCCGTTTTTTCCAACGAAGCCTTTAAATTGAGCAAAAATGTAACCTGTCACCTACTTAATTTTTTGGTGGTTTTTGCACATCCTGTGTTAAGTGTAGTGTGTTATCTAAGATAATAGGATTTTATATTTTGTTTTTAGATTCTTTTTAAGCTGCTTAGGAAGAATGAAATATAAGCCTTAAAAGAAATGAGTAGTGATTTGTGAGGCCCCTGGTTCAGGTCTCACTTGTGCTGCAAAGTGTCTGGATAGCCCTGGACAAGCAACTCTCCATCCTGCCTCTGTTCACTGTCCTGCTTTCAATAGGGAGATGATAATAGTCAACTACATTGCAAGGCTGTGGTAATGGATATGGAGTACTTTGAATACTCAGTGTGCTGTGATGGTGGAAAGTGCTGTCAAGTTGCGGCAAACTTGTGGTGACCCCTCATAAGGCTTTCAGTGCCGGAGACAAACAAAGTTGGTTTGCGTGTTTCTGCATAGCAGCCCCGAACTTCCTCATCCAAAGACGAAGCAGGGCTAACTCTTTTTAGCTTCTGAGATCTAATGAGATCGGGCTAGCCCGAGCCACCCAGGTCAGGGCATTCAGTGTATAGTAAGAATCAATATGTACTTGGAAAGTAGGCAGTAGGCGTTGCGTTAGGGCACAGGTTATGCAGGAGGGGTGAAAGCTTATTTCTGAACAAATAAAAACCTTTGCTAAAGAAGCCCCGTTCTTTTTGTGTGTGGATGGTGAAACAGCAAGTGGAGTTTTTTTCATTTATCTTTCCCTCCCTCCCATCTCATGTTGTGATGTGGGCACTTATAACTGATGCTGCAAAGGCAGTGTCAAGAAGACTGTGAATTGGCAGGCAGGTGGCCAGCCAACCAAAAGGCAGGACAGAAGATTATTTCTGCCCCTATCCTGCTGGGTTGTTTCTGCAGCATCTCAGTGTGCTCTGGAAAATGTAGTCTTTAAGATAATGGACAACATTGGGCACTATATATGTTTCCCAAGGTGCACCAAGACACAGAGGGAAAACAACAGAATTAAAATGAACACATACGTTAACAAGTATTGATTTATTTATTTGCTTCATTTGTTGCTTGCCTGTATAGCTGAGACTCAAGGAGGATTGTAAAATATAAAAGTAATGCAATCAAATAGTATAAGCCATTCGGTGAACAATGCGAAAGGACTGGGGTAACAAAGTTAGAAGACAGTGCAGACCAAAAAACCCACATGAATGCATTGCATACCATAAACTACAGAAAATGAAATTCGAAAGGAAGATGAGGAAGCAACAGCAGGATAATGCATAGAGAAAACAGTGCAATAGACTGCAGTAGTGTTCCCTCTATAAGAATGCCCTCCCAACCCATTCTATTCAGCAGCACTATTTCCTTCATAAAAGTGTCATCCTGAACATAATCAAAATGAGCAAGGATTTTAAATCTGACAAAAAAGAATTGTGCCTCTGTATTTCACAGATGGTGGGAAAGGTGCAGAGGAAATCAGAAAATAGGGAACCTTTGGGGGATATTGGCAGTGCTGAGCAAAATGGGTTTAACTTGGGTTGTTTTTTAAGGCAGCATTTATTTGTTTGTTTATTAAAACATTTATATCCTGCCTTTCCTTATGGTTCAAGGTGGCGTCTCTGGACAACTTAGCCTGGCTGATTTAGGAGTTTCAGCATAACCTTTTGCTTGGATCGCACTGGCTAAACTTTTGCTCTGGGAGAATGGCTGTACAGTGGCTATGGGGCAGGAGTTCTGCTTTTCTACATGCCCTGACATGTTTAGATTCAAATAACTGTGGCAACTGTTTGGGAATTTACTGCATGGCATCCATTAGCCCCATGGAAAGGCAGGAAGTAGAGGTCAGTTACATGATTAAACTCATCATTACCACACTTCCCTTTCTCCACTGAAAGATAGAGATGACTTCCTTCCCTCATGGTGAGCTAGAAAGCAGTTCTAGCCAGTGTGGTTAGAAGATAGTCCGCTGGATTTGAGACCTAGCCAGTGTGGTTAGAAGATAGTCTGCTGGATTTGAGACCTGGGCCTGCAAGACGGAGCTCTTCCGCCAGGACGGAGCTCTTCCGCCACACTGCTGGCCCTGGAACAAAGAACACCGGCATTGTCCGGAACAGAGGACACTGAGCTAGTAGAGCAGCAGTAAGTTCGTCATCTTTGTGGAAGATAAATTGGAATATCTGGAGCACTTTATATGCGTAATTTTGTAATGTTGCATAATGTTTTAAATGGTTTTAAAAATGTTTTTATGTGCGGGCGTATGCCTGTCTGTGACCCGCCCTGAGCCCATTTTGCGGGGAGGGAGGGCTATAAATTGAAATGAATAAATTAAATAAATAAATATCACACACTCACACTGAATATTCCACTTTCAGTCCACTTTCCAACTGGATTTTGCCAGTTCACACAGTAAAATCCAATTGGAAAATGCATTGAAAGCAGGTTGAAAGTGGATTATTTAGTATGTGTGATCGCAGCCCTGGATTCAAATCCTTGCTCACCAGTCTCCTGCATAGAAGGGCAGGATATAAATGGTTACTGTTTCTCTGAATCTACCTTCTGACTCCTGCTATGGAACCATATTCTAAACTTTGCTTCTCCTTCTTTTCTGTAACACTTCAGTATGTATCTTTTTGGAACCATCTCAGATCTTTGAAGGGAAGACCTGAAGCGAATACGGGGAGGGTTTTTCATGAGTTGACTAATGCAGAGCTTCATTTATAGTGTGGTTTTGAACAGATTTACATCCTTCTAAACCCATTGACCTCAATAGATTTAGAAGGGTGTAACTCTGTTTAGTGTTGCAGTGTTAGTTTTTTGGGCAGTGGGGAGCAGGCAGGGTTGCTGGGTAGTTAGGAAGGTCTGGGCATTTTGTGTGGCACTGGTGCTTACTTGCTAACTTTAGAATCCTGCTTTTCTTGTACACTTTCAGGCCCCAACTAGACAAGCAATTCCTCCGACGCTTTCTAAAGATCCAAGCAATTTTATTTCCTAAACTCTCTTCCCAGAATGTGCTGATGTTCCTTACCTTACTCGTAGTTGCACTCTTGGGTAAGTGGGTGTTACTGATCCTTTCTGTTGGCCCATGTTTCGTGATCTGGGCTCTTTTTAATACTGGCATATCCTTAAATAGAACTTTATTTCTTCCGCCCCCCAGAGCAGCTGGTCATTTACCAGGTGGGAGTGATCCCCAGCCAGTATTATGGAGTTTTGGGTAGCAAAGACCTTTCTGGGTTCCAGAACGTGACTGCTGTTGCACTGATTCTCATTTTGTTGAACTCTATGGTAAGATCCTTTTTTTCCTCTTACATCAAGATGAGCACCTTTTGTGGTTGGGGAGCAAGCAAGACAACTCTTACACAAACTTAGTTTCTGCAGAGACACCAACATCCTTATTCTCCCATATACTTTCAGAGAGAAATGCATACATATACAGATAAGTGCCTGTTCTCTCTCACAAGAGTTTTCACGCCTTCTATCACTGCCACCTTTGGTGGAATGTAAACCAGGATGTCTTCAAGGAGATAGATGCCACTGGAAATTGAATGGGAGGGACAGTATCCCTCTTACCTCTCTCAAGTGCCAAATGATAAAAACCAATGAGGAAGTGTAAGGGCTGGCACTGTTGGGGGTCTCCTTCAGCTCCCAGGGCGTGAGATCAGCCCACCTCCTCACAGCTGTACCTTTTGAGAATTTTGAAGCAGAGAAAACGGGAGGGACACATAGTGAAGGAGGAGCTACTAGCTGCTGTTCTCTTTCTCCTCATGAACAAATGTAGCTGCCTTATACCGGGTCAGTCTATTGGTCCATCAAGGTTGGTATTGTTAGCTGTGACTGGCACTTAGGATCTCAGGTAGAGGTCTTTTACTTCACCTATTACCTGATCCTTTTAACTGGAGATGATGGGGACTGAACCTGGTGCTATGGCCCCTCTCCTTATCATGCCTTTTAGCATCATTTCCCCCCATCCCATAAATTATTTTTGTGGTACAAACTTCTGAGAACAATCTCACATCATTGTAAAATACTAACAGGGGTAACTACTGATTTCACCCATGTCCCTTTGGCTTTAATGACTGCAAAACAGGTAACTTATATCTGAAGCAAAGTTGGGGAAAACCAAAATATCAAACCTGATTTCCAATTAATGGCATATGATATCTTTTGAAGTATTCTGCTAGAGTTGGTTAGAGCTGGTGTTTGGCTACGTGAGCTCTCAGGATGAGCAGACACTGGAATGAATGGCATGTGTACTTTGTCCCCCTATAGTCAGCTTGTACTGATGATGCATTCAGCTGTCCAGCTGCAAACAGACATTTGTGCACAGTGGAAAAGGTTCACCCCATCCCCAGTGGCATACAGGTATACACCGTACTGCTGTCTGTTACTCAAATCAGCTGTCTAAGTGAAATCACACTAAGATGTTAAGGGGAAAGCAAACTGTATTTTGCACTTCAGCACACATTAGTGTGGCATGGGTCTTGTGTTACACATGACAAAAAGGTTCACTTCCACTGTGTTACGTGATTGGTCAAATATTCCTTGTGATATACTCACTCTAGCTGCATGTACTCTGCACTAGCTGATAGCAGAAGGATCTGGGATTCCTCCAGGAAATGCAGTTGGTTGACCACAGAATTAGTGGTGTATGGTTCTCCTGCTAGATAACTCTATAACCAGGTACTTATATTACTTGCCCCATTTTTGCATATTACTTTTCTTTCTTTTCTTTCCCAGCTGAAGAGTATTGACCAATTCATCTGCAACTTGATGTATGTGAGCTGGAGGAAGGTACTCACTGAATATCTCCATGGCTACTACTTTCAGGGTCAGGTGTATTACACCTTGAACGTGCTGCATGAGGACATCGATAACCCGTAGGTGGTTGGCTGTCTTCTCAGCCATTCCTGGTGCTTTCTAGTGCATACCCTAATAAGGACTGAGATTTGTGCTTAGATCCAGTGGAGCATTTCTGCAAGTGGAGCTGAACATTTTTGCTTCTCCCTTTTCACTGCAGCCAAAAATGCTCCCTTTCCCCTGAAATGCTCTTCTTGGGGATCTTAGGGAGGTATATCGTACTGCAGCTAGAGCAGTGGAAGCAAGAAAGTTGTGCTCTGTTGCCATAAATCTTTCCATCCGTGGAGCTCCTCTGTTGGATCCATACTTTTGTATGAAATGTGGTTATGCACTGTTTTTCTCTAGGGGTAAATGTCAGTGAGCTCTTGCACTGAGTTGTAGGGAGGTAACTGTGCAATATTTGGTGCAATTTGTTTTTAAATTCCTTGTTTTAATGTTTCAATGAACTATTTATTATTGTGTTTTTGTGATCCACCCTGAGCCCGTTCATGGGGAGGGCGAAATATAAATTTGAAAAATAAATAAATAATAAAATAAATTTGGAAATATGTGAAAAATGAGCTAGATTGGTTGTGCTGAGATATCAAAGTTGCTACAAGAACTTAAACACCTACACAGTTTTGGCAATTGCTTTGGAAGGCAGTTCCCGTTATTTTTTGAACACTTGTGTTCACATTGGAATGTGGGACATTTCCAAGAAAATAGTGATGTGCAGCAAGAGTTTGGAGAAGGTATATGGGACTGAGCTTTTTCTTTTGCTGCCCTTGTACTTGTTTTGTTGTTGTTTTGTTTTACCATTCATGTTTGTGTTAAAAACACACGGGGCATTTACATAACTGCATAGAGATCACAGGGACTCGTAGAAGGGTAATTTTGGGCTGCATTGCTAATGTGCTAAACAATCTCCACCACTGATATCCCCAGGAAATGTTAGACTAGGCTTACTTGATTCCCTTTTAAATTCTGTTTTGGAGCATAGTAAAGACAAAGTCAAGGGAGCACAAAAACTGGCAGGCAGGTTGTGTTCATAGTCAACTTGATGTCTGAGTTTCCTCTCTTTTTGGGGGGGTGGGATACTTGGTCCCCTTCTGTTGAGGACAGTTCCTGGTTTTCAGAGCAGTACAACATGAGCTTTGAAAACACAGCTTTGGGTAGCAAACTGCAATTATGTGAAAATCAGTATAACTGAGCTGCTGGCTAAATCAGCTTTAACTAGGCACTGCGTGGTATAACTGAGCTGCTGGCTAAATCAGCTTTGACACTGCTTGTGCAAGAACCCAATAACAAAAGAATGCTCAGAGAGAGCAGTGCTCTAAAGAAGCTGGGGTTCAGGAGTCCTTTCCTGCTTCCTGTTTGTCGTTTTGCAAGTTCTGATCAGGACTGATTTTTTTTCTTTATGGATTCATCAGTGCCCTGTACAGAACTGTTTCTGTTAGATCTAAGGTGAACCTTAATGGGAAGGACTCTTGTTTCCTATTGTCTTGCCCTCACAGTCAGCTCCTCTCTTGCTGGGCAGAACAGCCTCTGTTTCTTTTAAAAACCTCATCTATACAGTTTTGCAGTTTCCACAAGGAAGGTGGGTGGGAAATGATGTCATTCAGCAGTGCTTTTACACAGCCATAGAACTGCAGAATTGCCCACCTTTGATCCCTTGTGGATCAACCACAAGTTAACTTGAGTTCCACTTTGCAGGCATAGCAGAGTGTGCAATTTTAGGTTTTTCTCTTTCTCGAGCAGAGACCAGCGAATAAGTCAGGATGTGGAGAGGTTCTGCAAACAGCTGAGCTCCATGGCCAGTAAGGTGATCATTGCCCCGTTCACTCTTGTTTACTACACCTATCAGTGCTTTCGCAGGTAAGGGATTATGAATTGTAGGGCTCTTTCATACAACCTGCCAGGGATGCTGTCCTTGTATACTGTTGAGCAGCAGGGAGTTTGCCTGAATAGCATGTGATAGCCTGATTACTAAGCATGGCATTCCCATACTTTGGGTGATGTTTTGACTATTAATGGGTACATATGAGATTCCAGTGAGTGGCTTGGCCCTTCATGCTTTTCAGGAGGCCCGGCTGCTTTGTGACTGCAGGAAGACTTTTGCAAGAAGGAGAAAGGCTACCGATCGCTTTCTCATCTTGCTCTAGTTTCTTTCAAGATCACTCCCATCTTAGGCTGAGGATGCTCCAGCCCTTCTGTCACCTTTAGCCTACATACAGCTGGATGAGGACAAGGTTCAAGAAGTTTAGTCTTTTTGGGTAGGCTATTAGGAGGGATATTTATATTTTATCAATTTGGAAGGGGCAGTGACTGTGTTTAATCCCGGAAGCGCTGCATCAGCAAGATATTTTGACTCTAGCCCCTTTTAGCATTAAACTGCCAAATGCCATCAGAAGCAAGGTGGCCTCGTTGTGCTTCTGGGGGTTGCTGTGAAGGAGGCTTTGGCAAGACCTTAGGAAAAGAGATCCCCAAAGCTAAGGACCAGCTACCAAGAATGTGTGCCTGCTGAGACAGTGCTCATCTTCGTTTCAAAGCCGAAGAGCCAGCGCTGTCCGAAGACGTTTCCGTGGTCATGTGGCCGGCATGACTAAACACCAAGGCACACGGAACGCTGTTACCTTCCCACTGAAGTGGTACCTATTTATCTACTGGCAATTTCTTGCTTTCGAACTGCTAGGTTGGCAGGAGCTGGAACTAGAGACGGGAGCTCACTCCGTCATGCGGCACACTCGGGTCTCGAACTGCTGAACTACCGACCTTCCACAGCCTGCAGTTCAGCGTCTTAACCACTTAAGCCACCGCAGCTCCTAAAACTATGGGTACCTTACTAATATTGTAATAACTATAAGAAGAAGAATGTGCCGTTGGGTCGAAACCAATTCATGGCAACCCCTTTGCAGGGCGTTCCAGGAATGAGATGAACAGAGGTGATTTGCCATTGCCTGCCTCCACGTAGCAGCCTCAGTCTTTGCTGGTGGTCTCCCAACCAAGCACTGACCATGGCTAACCCTGCTTAGCTCCCAAACCCTGACAAGCTCAGGGCATACTGGGCTAGTTGGGCTGCTGCATACAAGAACTGTCCCCTCAGTTAGAGCACTGCACAAATGAACTTCTAACAGATCAATGCATAGTCTTCCGTTGGTATTTTTTGCTAACCTCTCCCTGGTTTTCCTTTTTAGCACTGGCTGGTTGGGTCCTGTTAGTATCTTTGGTTACTTCATCATTGGAACAGTCGTCAACAAGATCCTAATGAGCCCCATTGTTTCAACACTGGTTCAGCATTCAGCAGGAGAAGCTGGAAGGTGATTTGAGGTAATAAAGCAAAACATATAGTTTGGAAATAAGTAAAATCATGGGGTGGCAGCAACCCTTTCTTGCATACTTGGTACACCAGCTTTGCTTTATGCTGAAAAACATCTTGAAATAGACCAGCTCTGGAGATGGACTAGCCCAGATGGAGCACCTATGGAAGACCCAGATCCAAGCAAAGTGTTCCTGGCTATTGGTTTTTATCCCACTTTTCTTTCATCCTGGTGCTCAAGGCGGCATATCTGGGGTCCCCAGGAGGTCTCCCATCTAGCCATTGCTGAGACCCAGACCTTCCTACATTCAGCTGTATGCTGGGACCCAAATCTTCTGACTTCTGATGCTGCAGTTCTGTGCTGTGTCTGTACCCGTTTCTGTTTTCCAGCTGAGAGACATTTATCCTGTGGCAAAAGCAGGAATGGGCTTGCAGAGGAGCAGATCATCTGCTTCAAAATGGTCCCCATAGATGTTAACTGGGGCTTTTTTTCTGTTTCACAGATTTAAGCACATGCAGCTGAGGGTGAATGCTGAATCTGCAGCTTTTTATAGGTAAGAGATATGCTCCCATTTCTATTCTCCCTTCTTGTGAAAACCTCAGCTCCTGAGAGCAAAAGGACGAAATAAATACGTGGGTAGGGGTGCCTGCTTCCTTTGTGTTCTGTTTGCTTCTGTTTCCTGCCCCCTTCTGCCAAGTAGCTCGTCTTTCTTTTGATCTCTTGCCCTTCTTCTCTAGTCTTCCTGTGATCGCCTCTATACTGATCTAAGGACGAGTCTTGTACTGAATGATCATATTCTCTCAAAGGTGCATCCAGGAGAGCTTTGCATGACATCTTCCTTGGCACCCTATATGATCTTGGTAAACAATCCTGGGAGTCCTGGTACCAAAGGGAAACGGAGGCATTTCAGCTGCCCCTGCTCCCACCTTGCTGTCCTAGTTCAGAACATAGGCATCATTTTTGCTGTTCTGCTTTCTTACCACATGAGGTCACTAGTATTACCAAGAATCTTTCTAGAAGCAAACTTCATTTTGATAGCCTTGGAGCCTCATACTTCAGGAACATCCTGAAGCAAAGAAGAGAATTAGGATATTTCATTGCAACAAAATACTCTAATTCCCTTCTTTGCTTTAGGATATTCCTCAAGTAAGGGACTCCAAGGTTATCAAAATTAAGTTTGCTTCTAGAAAGATTCTTGGTAATACTATAGTTGAGTACTGTCTGAGTTGCTCGATATGACCCCTTTTCCAGTTTGGGGAGCAGGCTTTGATACCACCTCTCACAATACTCCTAATAATGAAAGTATTTCAGAGGTCCGAGCCCTACTCATCAGCTATCCTTCCTTTCTTTTGTGCCCTCTCTGGCCCACACTGGGTGGGGAACATTCTGGCAGTGGAGCTGCACTTCAGAGGTGCTCTTGAGATCCCAGTGCAGTGTGAAATAGAGGAGTCCTTGAGAGGGTCAGTGGCTCAGTGGTAGAGCATCTGCTTTGCATGTAGGTTCAATCCCCAGCATCTCCAATTTTTTAAAAAATCAGGTTAATGTGTGATGGAAAAGACTTCTGCCTGAGACCATGGAATGCAGCTGCCAATCTGAGTAGTGCTGATTGACCAATGACCTCAATGACCAATGATTGACTAATGACCTCAGTGTAAATCAGTTTCATGTGTTCATGTGCCTCATTATCCCTGAGCATCCAGAAGAAGGCAACCATAGTTCCAGTGCCCACTTGTTTTGCCAACAGAATCTCAGCTGTCTATGCTGACTTATACAGCACTCATTGGCTTGCCTGGACCCAGCATAATTGAGAGTTCCCCTCTTTGTTTATGAGCTGGATTCGAGTCCAGTAGCACCTTACAGACAGCCCCGTAGCCAGAGTTTTTCTTCAGGGTGGGCAAAGAGGGGGAAGTTTAGTGCAACTAATTTAATTAATGGGACTAATTCAATTACTTGAGCTAATATAATTACCAGTCTAATTTAATTGTCAGACCAGGAGGGAGGGAGCAGGGCAAATTCGAGAGGGATCATCTCCCCAAGGGTCGTGTCCCGTTCTCCCCCCCCCCCCAGCTATGGGCCTGTTTAAAGGTAAAGGTTCCCTTGCTCAAAAGCCAGTCAAATCCGACTCTAGGGTTGCGGTGCTCATCTCCGTTTCAAAGCCGAAGAGCCAGCGCTGTCCGAAGACGTTTCCGTGGTCATGTGGCCGGCATGACTAAACACCAAGGCGCACGGAGCGCTGTTACCTTCCCACCGAAGTGGTTCCTATTTATCTACTTGCAATTTCTCGCTTTCAAACTTCTAGGTTGGCAGGAGCTGGAACTAGAGACAGGAGCTCACTCCGTCTTGCGGCACCCGGGGCTTGAACTGCTGAACTACTGCCCTGCCACAGCCTGCAGTTCAGCGTCTTAACCACTTGAGCCTGCTTAGAGACCAACAAAGTTTTAAAGCTTTTGATTATCAAAGATCCCTTCATCAGATAACAGATACATATCTGATGAAGGGAGCTTTGACTGTTGAAAGCTTATACTCTGAAAATCTTGTTGATGTGTAAGGTGCTGTTGGAACTGAATCCAGCTTTTCTACTGCAGACCGACATAGCTACTCTCCTGAAACTCTTGTTTTGTATTGCAGTAGACTTTCTTTTAACACTAAGTTCAGACAACAAAGACATATGTGGAGAAATTGTTTTCAGTGGCTGCCCAGTAACATTGGAACTGCCTCCCCAACCACGACTAGTTAAAGCTTGAGGCCCCTTCATTACCCTTGATTTGGTTTTTCCTAGAGAAATGGGTTCACAGCCATCATCCTTTTGCCCTAGTTGCATATACACAGCTTGCCCATGTGAGGTTTGGGCTTGTGAGAATGATCACTTTACAGATGGACGGACAGCAGACTCCTGTGTTGTTTTGCAGAGCTGGGGAAGTGGAGCACATGCGAACCAACCACAAGCTACAGAATCTCCTGCAGACCCAGAGGGAGCTGATGGGCAAGGAGCTGTGGCTGTACAGTAAGCAGAGCCATTTGTCTTAATTCAGAAGTCTTATGAGGGGGCACTTCACAGAGGGACTGACCGGATTGGAGTCTTGAAGGAAAGATCTCTGTGGGCGTGATAGTTCCTACAGAGAGAGAGAGAATGGAGGAGGTGGAATAAGTAAGTGAATGACCAGCTGACATGGGGGGAAAATGGATTTCACAAATAAATGGGAGACACTGAACCTAAACTTAGGTGCCTGAGAAGGGTCATGGAGAAGACTCTGAGGAAGGTGGGTATTTGATGGAAGTGAGCACAAGCACATGGACCTTGTGAGTTCTGCTATGTCAGGCCCTATCAGAGGGGAGTCAGTATATTCTTGGTTTCCTAGCATAGGTTCCAATTTCAATCCAGCATTTGATTTACCTCCTAGTTGATGTGTATCATCCTGAATCCCAGAAGTTCTGTTTGCATTTGTTCCTGCTCAAGTGTGAACTGAATGAACAAAAAGCAAAAGCGGCATATTAGCTGTTCCCTGTCGTTGCCGAGTGTGAGACACACTGGTCTGTCTTTGTGCTCTCCCTTCTCATCTGCTACATAACACCCAGTGTAAAGAGTGGCCTCCATCTAGTTCTTTTTTTTAATTGTTCTTTGAACATCTGTGGAAATCTGCTGCATGATTGTAGGATGAGGCTTCCAAATTGCTCCCCCTTTCCTCTCTAGAATTCCTCACAGGCCCCACAGTTTGTGCATCGCTAATGACACTTTTCTATGTTCTTTAAGGTTGGGAAGAGTGACACATAACAAGGTGGATGTACAAAACCACATAGCCAGTGGGGGCCTGGATAATCCACTGCTCAGGGAATTCAAGAATTGTTTTTTTTATTTTAGACAATAAAACAAGGATGTTAAAAACAAACCATCAGTTTTAATTTTGTTAAAATTACAGATGATCAGAAAACAGCATGAAGTGCTTTGAAGGTGATGATCTTTGTATCCCTTGGTAGTCAAGTAGGTCAGGGTTCCTGGATCCTGTCAGAAAGATCTGCATGCACACAAGGGGGGGGCAAGTCCTCCATCCTGCAGGAGCCCTTCAGCTCCTCCTCCTCCTCCTCTGCTGCCGCCTCTGCCTCTACTGCTGTCAGACCTAATATCACAGGCTCCAAGTACTGTAGTTGGAACTACTGGGGAAATGCAAGTTCCTCAAGCAGAAGAGTCATCCTGATCACACCAGGGGGGGGGGCAAGTCCTCCATCCTTCAGGAGCCCTTCAGCTCCTCTCCTTGTTGCTCTTGGGGCTCCCCAGTCCCTCAGTTCAAGGGGTGTTTGGGGCTGACTGGAGGAGCAGGGCATGGTGCTTCTGTGCACAGACGTTAGATGGGATCATACAACCCAGTATGTTGAGGGGAATTACTTTTTTTGCATTTGGTCCTGATAATTTTATTTATTTAGCTTCATTTATAGCCTGCCTTTCAGTTAATCAGTAAGCCAATGACAAAGTATGATAACATTTCATTGACAACATCATGTAGTATGAGAAGATTTTGGCTGCGTTACTCGGGCAGATATTCCACATTTCTCACTGGCTCATGCTGATGTGTTTCTGTTCAGTTGGGATCAACACTTTTGACTATCTGGGCAGCATCCTGAGTTATGTGGTGATTGCAATTCCCATCTTTGGTGGAGTCTACGGTGATCTGGATCCAGCAGAACTGAGCTCATTGGTCAGCAAGGTGAGTTCTTGTATTTCCTGAAGGTAGAAACCTGGTGACTTGTGTATTTCAGAACATTTCCTTGACCTTCCCATCTCCTGGGATCCCCATAACACCCATTGGATGCCAGCAGCCAGAAGCCAGCAGAATTTTCTGGTCTTTGGGTCATAGCATGAGGAGATTGGTGTGTGAAGACAACCTGTGCTGGAGAGAGGAGGATATGCTGGCAGGGACGATGTCAGTAGACATTTTGTTCAGTGAAGGTAAAGGTTTCCCTTGCTCAAAAGCCAGTCGAATCCAACTCTAGGGATGGGGTGCTCATCTCCATTTCCAAGCCAAAGAGCCAGCGCTGTCCAAAGACGTTTCCGTGGTCATGTGGCTGGCATGAGTAGATGCCTAGGCGCATGGAACGCTGTTACCTTCCCACTGAAGTGGTACTTATTTATCTACTTGCAATTTCTTGCTTTCGAACTGCTAGATTGGCAGGAGCTGGGACCAGAGACGGGAGCTCACTCCGTCATACAGCACTTGGATCTCGAACTGTTGAACTACCAACCTTCCGGTCTGCAGTTCAGTGTTTTAACCACTTGAGCTACCGCAGCCATAAATAGCGAGGCTGAGCAAGGAGCCTTTGAGGAACAGAGGCAGGGAGAACAAATCGGAGGGCTCACTGCCCCCAGTCTCCTGCTCCAGGATTCTTGAAGCAGTTAGGGCTTGGAGCAGGCTGAATCTTTCGCTCCTCTGCTCTTTTCCCCTTAACAGATACTCTCCTGCTCTCAGCATTATGTGCTACATGGAGCATATTCAGTCTTCCTCATCAGGCTGTCTCTGTTGTTTTTCATTCATTTGGATCTACATTCCTGGGGAATTTTTTGAGTGTGTGGAAATCCCTGGCTTGTCTGTGAGTGTCACAGTATTGCTGTTTTCATGATCATAATGAGGTCCAACCATTTTACAACAGTAAAGATGCACACAATAAGCATAGTAAACAAACAGAGCCCTCACTATATAGAAGTGGATGAAGAGAACCGGATTGCCAAAGGAATATTTATGGGGATCTAGATAATCCACTGCTCTGTGAATTCAAGGATTGTTTTAACTTTGGTTGGAAGAAATCACGGAGTGGACATCCTGCAACCTGTCAGCATCTACTCTGGTGCCTGTGATTTTGCCAGCCATTGTTTACATGCATTCTAGCCAGTCTTAGTCATAGAATCATAGAAGGGGAAGGGGCCATACAGGTCATCTAGTCCAACCCTCTGCTCAATGCAGGATCAGCCTAGAGCATCCTTGACAAGTGTTCGTCCAGCCGCTGCTTAAACACTGCCAGTGTGGGGGAGCTCACCACCAAGTCAAAGCAACTTGAAATTTACAGGTAGCTGAACTCTGTACCCAGAACTGGATTCCAGACTCATGTGATGTCTTAAGTCAGAGATCCCTATTGGGCGTCTTGGTGCCCCCTGACACTCTTCCTGCTGCCCTCCATGTTTTTAAGGGGGCTTAAGCGGGGCTTCTGATAAGCAGTCTGTATGCAAGAAGATATTTTGACATCATACGTTTGTTTCAAAAAGCATCCTGTTTAACAGAATATCTGCATTAAATATTGAAGCATTACCATGCAACAATCAGAGAATAGGTCTGTTTTAGAAATATCCCACCTCAAATAGTGATCATATGGAAGAAAGCAGCACCGTTTTTAGGGGTGTTTGTGTTCCACCACCAGTGGAATGAGCTCCTCCAGGCTATAAACTGGTATGAGATCAGCAAGAGCACATAATCCTGCCACATCCATGTACCATTGAGAAGCCACAGGCACTGGCCAGCTGGCCTTTCAAGCCAACAGTCAGTAAGGCAGATTTAATTGCTTCATCTGTCTTGGAATGAGATCTTTCCCTCTGTAAATAAGGAGTGGACAGAGATGGGCTGCCATAATCCAGCTCTTAAAACTGCTAAACTAGGACTTGCTCCTCAATGAAGGGCCTCACGTGGTCTCATCAATGAGACCTGGTTGGGAAAAATAAGTATGTTCATATCACTTATTCCCAGGTGGGTCTTTTGCTGCAGCACCAACATAAATTCAAAGAGAGGGGAGGGGATTTGCTGTGGGTTTTTTTTTTTGTTCTTTATTTTAAATCTTCTAGGTTTTCTGTCTGGCGGAGCCCAAATGTATCTGGAGGTCAGTGATTAGGATAGTCTGGAGACACTGTTAATTATAGTGCCCACCCCACTTCTGAATAGTCTTTTGATCTGAGTTCATGGAGGCAAACTTGGAGCTGAGGACTCTGTGGTTTTTAAGTCAGGGGGAAAGGCAGTACACATGCTGATGCTCCCATAACCAGTACAGGAGTTCATAGCTGCTGTGAAAATCATGGGGCTCTCCATAAAAGTTGTGGTTCCCATGCACAAAGCAGATCACATTTTGGTGTTCAGGGTGAGGTAGGCTAATGGTGAGCTGAGAATGAGGGAGCTAGCAACAATGCCCTTGTCATAGTCGGATCACTATCTGGTCAGGTTCAGGATATCAGTTGCTTTGAACTTCTACATGGGTGGTTGTTCCACCCTCTGACATAGTAGGTTTGAGTTACCAGAGATTCTGAGACGTTTTCCAGATGGCAGGCCTGTTGGTGCCTTGGTTGATTTTTGGAGTATAGAGAGCACTCGGGCAGGCCTGTTGGTGCCTTGGTTGATTTTTGGAGTATAGAGAGCACTCGGGCGGTGCAATTGGTCCTTGAGCATCCTCTCTTGCTGACTGAGCCAATTCAATTCTGACATACAAAGGGGGGGGGATTAGAATGAATGACAGCTAGAAGTCTGATGGCAAAAAGCTCAAGAGCTCCAGTCAGTCACAGTCTAGAGCAGGGGTGTCAAACTTATTTGTTATGAGGGCCAGATCTGACATAAATGAGACTTGTTGGGCCAGGCCATGTGTGTCATAAAATGTAATGCCAGGTAGCGGAGATATAAACTTTATAAAGGACACAAAGGGTTTTTTTTACCTAAAATAAAAACATGCTTAAAACATTAGCACTCTTGCAATAGTTTATTTATTTAACAGTGTCTGATAACTGACACCTCTTGCTCTGAATTATTACTTCAGTGTTGTTGCAATCTTGAGTATGCTGCTCTGGTGTGTATCTGTAAGTTGCAAACCTATGATGACGCAGCAGCAGCAGAACTGGAAGAAGAAGCAGAAAACAGCCAGTTGCACTGAGGGCCTGATAGAAGCCCCTGGTCTAGAGAGCACTCTACCAGCTTTGGTACCCCTGCTCCAGAGCTCCTGGAAAAGGAGACTTTTGCCATAGTGGGCAAAAGTTAGTTAATATCTGAACTGTTCATTTTGCCTTTGAAAAGTCTACAGAAATGTCAGGTGGTCCAAAATGCCAGCTTATTTGTCAGAGGATGCTGTGACGAGCATATCTTTTAAGTGCTCAAAGATCTTTATTGACTTTTGATTTGTTTCTGGGTGTGACTCAAAGTGCTGGTGTTAACCTTTTAAACTTCTAAAGAATTTGGGGCTGGGATACCTGAAGGACTACTTCTTCCCATATAAATCAGCATAGATCCTCCTCCAAAGCCTTATTTTTCACCACATTTGGTAGTAAACTGAGCGTCTGGTAGCGAGGAGTACCTTTTTCTGTGGCTGTTTTTGTGACTCTTATCCAAGAGATGCTCGCCTGGTGCACCTTTGTTGTCTTTTAGGTGCTGATGTGTGTTTATCTGTGTGCACGCAAGCGAGTGCACACTTTTGTTGGTTAACTCCCCAACCTTCTCCTTGTGCTCATCTGAGCTAGGGTATAGCAATTTTTTGCTTTACACTGCTACAACTTCATGAGTGTGTGTGTTTATCTGTACCTCTGCTTTCATTATTCTTACAATTGTTCCTTTGTTTTTGTTATTACCGTGCATTGTCTTGAATCTGTTTTTTAAAATAAGCTAATCTGAGGCTGGTCACATGGCATTAAAGATAGTCTGACCTGCATTATTTACTCTGCAGCGAGAGGCTCCTTTTGGGAATGACAGGGCAGCCTCCTGGCCGGAGCAAGGCTGGCTGGCTGGCTGTCAGGATCCCATGGAGTGAGTGTTGACCCCTGTGCTGCAGGGAATTGCTTGGCAGGCTGCTGATGCTGGCTAGAAATAACTTCAGGGTACTATTTTTGCAGTTCTCTGGATCTTCCTTCATACTTGCTCCTCTTTGTTTTCCGAACGCTTGGCTGCCTCAACATTTCAAACGCTGTCTGGTACACAACCATGCTGTTTTGTGCTTTTTAAGCTACTGACGTAATTAGCTTTTTAAGCTACTGTTTTTGTGCAGTTTTAAGCTGCTGACGTCAAGAGGCCTCAGGTTTCAGGGTGTTGTTTTACTCAGCACGAATGATTGTGTCAAGTGTGTCATCAAAGTGCTGCATCCTGCCTTGTATCGGGTGCTAGTAAGCAGACACTATGCAAGACGCCAATATATCTGGGAGCAGAATGCTGCCCTAGGCAGCCCCAGTGGACAGATTTCTCCTTCAGAGGCCACTGAGGGAAAGGGTGAGAAGAGAGTGTTCATTCATGCCCCATGATGGCTTAGTCCCTAACTTTGGGGTCTGTTCTTGCTGGCTTACTCAGCCAAACCTTCATAGCTGAGCTCTTGCAGGCTCGAAGGTGGGACTCTACAGTTGTCCAGCCCCACCCATCGCCCTCCCAGCTGGAGCAGATTATAGCTTGATTACTTTGATTGCCAAAGGGTCTCTGAGCTGTGTGCTGAGGGTGTATTCAGTCCATCTACTGGCCAACCAGGCTCTCTTAGGCACTGTGCAAGTACCCGGGGATACGATCATCAGTCATGACAGCACCAGCAATTTTATATTCTCAATAGTGATAACTTCCTGGAGGGGAGGGGAAGAGCATGTGCAAAGTTCACCCTCTGGCTGAATGGGTCATTTGTGAGGGATTTTACCAGTGAGACTGTGGGCTGGCTTTGAGGAACCCTGAACCTTGGTCAATGGTTCTTCTGACTGATCCTTTTCACCTGCCCAGCTGTAACTGTTATCCCAGTGATCAAGATTAGTTCCATGCTACATGTATAAGACAGAGTACAAAATATTGACTTGAATGTCCTGTTCAACAGCCTGAAAATTTCAGCTTTCTTTAAAAAAAAAAAAAGCAGGCTGCTAGCTGAAGAAGAGGTAAACAATACCCTAGTAGTTTTTTCTGCCTCTTGAACTACCTATGCTCACGTTCTACCTTGACCTTTGCCAGTACAGTCCATCTCAAAATTTAGTGAACCCCAAACATGGCATTCAAAATAAACTGTAAAAAGGTTTAGGCCAACTTTCTGATCTACATAGCTCTCACTACAGATTTTCAATTTGGGTTTTGCTGGTAGATATAATGGCTGTCTACCTGTCTGTGTCATGTTTTTATCTCGCCCATCTTCGGAGAATCTTACCTCACAACAACCCTGTAAGGTAAGTTAGGCATTAAAAAGAGTAACTGACTGAACATTACTCAGAGATCTTCATAGCTGAGTGGGGAGTTGGACCTGGCTGTTCATATCCTAGTCCGTTACTCTAACCACTACGCCCCACCAGTTACCTGTGCTGGCAGCTGATGAGACAAACTACTCTGTAGCTAATATGTTGGTGGCAGGGAGCTCTTGTTCAGTGCATTGCTTTTCAGACCTTGTTAACTCTCTTGTTTTGTGTGTGGTTTGTCTTGTAGAATGCCTTTGTCTCCCTGTACCTGATTGGGTGTTTTAGCCAGCTCATTGACCTTTCCACTACTGTGTCTGACGTGGCAGGCTATACACATAGGTGAGTCCTCTTGTCTGTGGGCCAGTGGTGAGGATGTCTGGACATACGGTATGAGCCTTCAAAGGATGTCTCCATTAGAAGCTGCTGCACAAAGAAGGAAGCTTCCACTCCTTTTGGGGGGGGGCATCAAGTCACAGCTGACTTATGGAGACCCCCTAGCCTAGGGTTTTCACGGCAAGGAGACATTCAGAGGTGGTTTGCCATTGCATGCCTCCACGTCACAATCCTAGTATTTCTTGTAGGTCTCTCATCCAAATACTAGCCAGGGCTAACCCTGCTTAACTTCCAAGATCTGACAAGGTTGGGCTAGCCTGGGCTATCCGGGTTCCACTCCTTAAGGCCCATCAAAGATTGTGTTTGGAAGACTTATAGGGTATGAACATCTGGCTTCATTCAAAGGACTCAAACACATTTGAGAAGAAATTGGCCAAGGACCTTATCTTTGAATCCATGAGGCTGCAACAGAAGAAACAATCTAGAGAATCTTAATTTGTTCTTCAGACAGGATAGCCTTAGCTGGTGGGCATCTGTTCCATTTTCTAAGCCTTGGTGTCACTCATATTTAAACAATGGGGTGGATCCTACCCCTATCCTGCCACTCCACTGAGTAAATTTCATTCATTTATTAACTAAAATATTTATTACCTGTTGTAGTTTTTCCAGGTTGTCTGGCCGTGGTCTTGGCATTGTAGGACCTGACGTTTTGCCAGTAGCTGTGACTGTGAAAGCAGCTGTGAAAGCTATCGACAACATATTGAACGCCTCTACAGGGAGGAAACATTTCAACAGATCCGGAGGTTGGAAACGCTTCAGAACAAAAAAGCACATCTCCATCTTTCTGTGTTATACCTCTGAGGATTCCAGTCACAGCTACTTTTGAAATGTCAGGTCCACAGCCAGACAACCCGGAAAATCTACAACAGCTAATGAACTCTGGCCATGAAAGCCTTTGACAACATATTAAAATATTTATGTCCCACCTTTCCTTTTGCCTCAGGTTTGAAGCCCTGCTCCAACTTAAGTGGCTCTTCCATTGGAGGAAGAACTACTTGTCAGAGAAAGGGTCCTAGGAGGATGGTTGGATCCACCCCAGTGCTTCTCAGAAGATTCCACAAAACATGTTCACCTCTTACAAGTTTATAGTAATATGTGTAGTTACATCTTCATGCTTCCTAAAATATCTGTTCTTTTATGGTTTTGCTGGCGAGGATAGGAGCTGCTTTTGAACAAAACTGTTTTTATTTCCACCCGCATCCCCCTTACTGATCAGTCTGTGTCTTTCTAGGATTGGAGAACTGCAGGAGACGCTGATGAAGCTCTCCAAGAAACAAAATGATTGTGAGTTGCAAGCGAAATGGGACTTCAACAAGTGAGTTGCTATACCTGTCATAGGTTAGCAGTTTCCTGATTGCACTGGTGTTACAGGAGGAAAGGCAACTGAGCACATTAATTGTGGAGGGCTAAGCTAATCCTTGGGAGAACCTTGCAGCCCAGATATTCTAGGGTCCCCAAAGTTGTTGAGCCTTTGGGCATATCTGAAATAATGAGAAAGGGTATTGGGTGCAACCACAGAATGTCTGCCACGGGAGATGGGATGATTAACAAAACGGCTGGGGTGTGTGTGTGTGTGTGTGTGTGTGTGTGTGTGTGTGTGTAGAAGATTGACAGGTTCCAAGTCAAGTATCCTCCAGTGATGGAAGCAGCTGTTCCTGAATAGGTGCTCCATGCAGATCCAAAAGTGATAGGGGTCTTCCGAAGCACCACCAGTGAATTGTAGGTAAGCCAGGATTTCCTCTTGGCTTTGGAGACCCAAGCAACTCAACTGCTCACTGAGCAGTTGAGACACACCTGGAAAGTGCCAGTGTGAAGGGTCAAGTTAGAATGTGAATGATTAAGTCAGGTGACTCCCAGCCAAAATCCAGTGTTAAGAGAATTCTTGGGGATTGAAGAAGGACAAACTCAAAGCACATGTCGAGGAAGAAAGCCCTCTGTTCACGGCTTAACACTCTGCCCTACAACGTGCAACTCAGAAATCAGGAAATGGTGATACGGGTAAGATGCAAGTCTCGTAGATTCTGGGAGTGTCAATACCTGGTGAACATCTTGGAGGCCTGAACAGGGAACAGTGCTATGAGATGGGTCTGGTTCTCCTGATAATGATCTTATCATAGATCTCAGGCTTTTTGAAGGGGGAAGGACAACATGTTTTTTCAGGGCAACTTTTGGATTTCTCCCTGTCCCTGCCACAAATTAGTTGAAAGTCTCTGCAGACTTCAGCCACAGCAGCCAGAGGGAGAAATGAGTCTGCAACAAAGAGTAGTCTCTCACATACTGAGTGATTCCCTGAGTGACGCGTCAGAGTCCAGTTGATAGATAACCTGCTGCCTGCCCTTCTGAATGCAGCTGAATGTACTCACAGGCTTATCTGCTTACCCTTCCTTTTACTTTACTTTCCCTCTCTCTTTTTTGGGTCTTTGATGAACAACCTTTGTACCAGTGTTTCTAAGGAACAGGCAGCACCAAGCGACACAGCATTCTTCCTGGAGCAGGTCTCTCTCTCTGTTCCTTCTTCTGAGAAGCTGCTTATCAAAGACCTAAACCTGAGAGTCACACAAGGGAACAGTCTTCTGATTACAGGGAACACGGGCACAGGGAAGACATCTTTGCTGCGTGTCCTAGCTGGCCTCTGGGAAAGCAAGCAGGGTGAGTACATCATCATAAATGAAGTGTTGCTTTGTCGATAGGCTCAAGGGACATGGGGTCCCTACACAGAGGCCAATAGATGGGGGCAAAGTCTGGACTTAAGTTGTTTGGGAGTGCAAATCAGCCTTTGTTGCACTTAAGTCCTTACTGCTTTGTTTCGAGCTCGCAGACCCACCCTTGCCCCCATTTAATCCTGGAGTATCAGGAAATGTCGATTTACTTGCTTAACATTATCCCACCAGATGCCTTTGGCCATGTGGAAAGCCTGTAAAACTCCATCCAGGGCTGGCTCGCTCACTAGGCGAACTAGGTGTTCGCCTAGGACGGGCCGGCCCTTAGGGGCACCAAACTGCACCCGCCCCCCGCCAAAAGCCCTTCCCAGGCTGCCACCCTCTCTCCTGACAGCTATGGGGGGGGACCCGGCTGCCCGCCGAGAGCTTGGCTGGTGGTTCGGCAGCCAGCTCCTTCAGGCACCGCTGGGGCTGGGCTGGCCTGCCAGCTGGCTCCCTCTCGGTGTATGGTGGACGGGCGGCTCTCCTCCAGCTCCTCCTCCTCTCTCCCGGCAGCAGCGTGCCTCAACTCAGCCACCTCCGCCTGGCGACCTTCCGCCGCTGCCACCTCCGAGGCTCCCCTGGCACAGCTGCTGCCGCGCTGCCACCACCTCCCTCCCCAGCAGGAGCGTACGCACGGCTCAGGCCCAGCTGGTGGGGAAAGGGCGGCAGGCAGCTGCCCTCGCCGCAATGGCCGTTCCCTCCACCCGATGCCGGCACCTGCACGCCAGCCAGGGAACACAGGTGGTGGCGGCGGGCACCAGCAGCAGGGAGAGCCGCTCCTCTGAGGCGTGATGCTCAGGCAGCCGCCGTCGCCTCTCCCACCGCCTTCCCGCAGCCCCCACAAGGCGGGGAGGGGGGCGGAAAGGACGCTGCTGGGCGCAACGCCTTCCACGCCTCTCTCTGCTGAACAGCCCAATCCTCCCTCGGAGGCCGCCCGGCCCTCCAGGGACAGAAGACACGCCGTCTCCCTGATGAGAGGCAAGAGTCAGGGGCGTTGGACTGAGGGCTCTAGAGCCTGCCAGACGCCTGAGTAGGAGCCTCGTTTCATCAGCCGGCGACACACAGGAGGACGGGCCCCAGGCCCCAGTCGTTTAGTACAGGGCAGCCCTCGTGCCTGTATCGGAAATGCCCTCTGGAACAGTTCTGCATCGGATGCGGAAAGCCTTCCTGGCCTCCTCAGGCAGCCCCTTCCTCGGGGGGGGGGGTGCACAACAGAAAAGGCATCAGGCATGCGTGCCAGCAGGTGTCCTTTTTGCCCCTTCACATGTTGGCCATTGCAGAAGACCCTGCTCTGATGACCGAAGCTGTTGGGGTGGAGTCTTGGTGGGCGCACGGGGGAGGGGGGGGCAGAAGGATCCTTGCCTAGGGTGCAAAATAAGCTGGGGCCGGCCCTGACTCCATCCACAGGCAATGTTGAGATTTGCTGTTTGCTACACATGACCACGCCTGTTAAGGCTTGTCTTCTTGTATGATTAGTGGGACCTACGGATGCCTGGCTTCCCTGAGCAGTTAGAGCTACTCTGGGGGCTGTCTTTGTAGGCAGTAACTTGTGTGGTAAATGGGCTGTTTATTTCTTCCTGGGTAATGATTGTGAGCAATGCTCCCTCTAAGCTGTGGAGTCTTGTGAGCAAAAATTCAACTTTGTGAGCAACTGGCATTAAACCTGTGAGTGAGCGATTTGGCTACTGCATAAATCAGTTTGCTCTGGAGCCATCCCTTCCTGAGCTAAGACAAAATTGGGTGAGCCGGAGGCTAAACAACTGTGAGCTAGCTCACACTAACTCAGCTTAGAGGGAACACTGATTGTAAAATGTCAAGTGGCATTGTCAAGCTGGGTTGGTGTATGTGTTATTTTTAGATTAATCCAGATCCATTGGTCATTGCCTTCTTGAGAAGTAGCGAAGCATAGGATCAAACAAGGCAAGATGGAGAACTAGAATCTCTCTGCTACTTTTAATTGTAAGTTTCATGCCTGCATGGCCCCAGTGCAGATTTTAGCTATGCAGAGCGGGCAGAAGAAGCTTATTCATTCCCTTCCTGTCAAAACTGCCTTTCCTGTTCCGCTCTTAGCCCCAGAAGGGAAGAGAAAAGGCGAGGATCCTTTTTTTGCTCACATTGTTTCCCCTTTGAGGGCCAGCAGAACAGGAGGGGTGGTTTTGACTGGCAAAACTGCACAGGGGGGGACTCCTCTCCCCTTCACCCCCACATGTGGCCTCAGTCCAGATTAGGCTCCTACAGAACTTCTGTTAGCATTTTTAAAACTCTGGGAGGAACCAGTTATGTCATCTGTTTTGAACTGTAGCAGCTTTGAGTGTCAGCTATGAGCCCAAGAAGTCCTCCTTAGCCCTGTCCTCAAGTTTGGCATTTTGGCAAACCATTACTGCCCCCTTTCCTCCTGTCTACAGCATCGAGTGGACAGTATTGGCCACTTATGGGGTTGTTGAAAGGGCCAATAGAAGAACATGCTTTTAACACTCAAGTGTGTTGTATTGATGGGGAAGTGTTGTGCCCGTGACCTGTGTATGAGATTCTTCCTGTTGGGTCTCTTCAGGGGATGTCCACATGCTAACCTGCTTTGGCCCCCATGGGGTGGTGATCTTGCCACAGCGGCCTTTCTTCACAGATGGGACTCTGCGGGAACAGGTGAGCCGCTTTGGCACCAGACTCTCGAGGTGGTCTTGCTGCCTTCATGCCAGTTCTACTGTAGCTGATGCCTCTTAGGGCTAGTGGTCCAGTGGGACCTGACCGGGGTGGGGGGGGGGCGGCACTGTGGCTGCTCATTCTTTTCAGCCATTGCAATATGATTCAGAGGCCCCTCATGTTGAGTTTGTGTTTATTTGATTAGGTGATTTACCCTCTGAAGGAGATCTATCCAGTTTCAGGTGAGTGGGAATCCACTGGAATAGTTGCCTCCAGTGGACTCAAGCAGCTTTGCTCTCTTTCAGTGCCTTTTTCTTCTGCAGTGTGTGTCTGTGTTGTGTGAGCTTTCTTTTGGCTGCTTTATCTTATCCTGCGGGGAGCTGACTTATCCATCTGGTATATTAATGCAGGGATGTTCAGTATGTGGAGAGCTGCAAAACATTAGTCAGACCATGTGCAGAGTTGGTGTGGGGGCAGAACAGAGCTTGAAAAAACAAGCCAGAGCCAAAAAAATGTATGCAGATATGCTTAGTTTGCATAATGCATTCTGAAGCTAGAATATAGTCTTCTAAGGACTGGGTCTGTTTTTATTTTGGATGCAGAACATTCCCACCCCTGACTGTACCTTTCCCACTTAATTGCTGGAGGCAGTCCTCAGCAGGGCTATAGGAGGAAGCCAGTGAGCAGGGGAGGGGGCTTTATTTCACCCAGTGCAACTTACAACCTTCCACAAACTAAGCACCCATGTTGTAGCATGACTGTGTCCTCTGTTGCCATTTTTATTAACCATTTTATCCTTGATCAAGCATATTCTCTGCCACTGATCAATTTGCTATCTGTGCCTTATTGTTTATGTACAAGGTTTCCCAGTTTTGCAAGTTGTCATAGCATTTTTCTACTCAGTGGTGAATAGCTTTCAAATAAGAGCTATTGGATGTTGGTGTAATACTTGCCATACATTATTTCTCCTTTGGGCTTCACATTCCTTTTACGCTTTTACGCGTTTGCTGTTTTTTTTAGTAAGAGACTATGGTAAAATTATTAAAGTGGAATTCCATGTTAACTCAGATTTTGTATTTGGAATAGAGAAGTTATGAATAAAACAACAAAGACCGAAAGCAGAGTGGGTTGCCATAGTTTTTAATTTGACAAGGTCAGGCCTGACAGAGCAGAGCAACACCTCAGAGATACAACATTGTGTCTCTAAAACATATGGGCACTTGGCATACTTGAAATTGTGCGCTTTAGGTTGCTGGGGCGTTATTATTATTTGAGTAGCACCATTGATGTATTTTTTCCCCTTCTGAAACTCTGTAAAGTGTTACAGAGTTTCAGAAGGGGAAAAAATAGGCCGGTTTCTTTAAGATTACAGTCTAAAATAGACAATAGCAGAGGCAATAGAGGGTAGGGAGGAAGAGACAAAATTCTCAAGGAATGAACATGAATTGATGCTGTTATACACACTTAAGTATTGTGAGACGGGTGGCAGTGAAGATATAGGAGCTAAGCCAGAGGCCTCATGGGGAAAAGTGGGCTTTGAGGAGGGATTTGGAGGGAAGAGTGAGAGATGGTACCAAGTATGTGTTCAGGGAAGGGCTTTATGTATGAAGAAGACACAAAGAAAAAATGATCTTCGTACGATACGGTATTCCTCTGTCTTAAAACTGTATATTGTGGATCATTAAGAAGCTTACAAAACAGCATAACTGATATAGTTTGTACGTATCTTATTGTTCTTTTGACTCAAAAGTCTTGAACAGATCAAGACCCAACACTCTTACCGGCAATCACCGCAGCTAAGTATTTAGCAACTGCTATAACTGATACACAAGGCATTTGTTTGCAATAAATCATCCTCACAAGAAGAAAAAAAGTAGAGAGCCTGTCTCTTCACACGCTTTTGAGAGCTGCTTCACATATGCTTGAACATCACTTGATTATTTGCCAGGCATCGAAATTATGATAAATATGGGAATTTATGCCATTGAAAAGGCATCTTATTTAAGGTGACATGAGGTCACACAAATATTCTGTGTCTGATTTGCAATAATTCATTAACACATGCAAATTGCCACTAGACACGGCGAAGATCAAGTGATAATGTGTGTATGTATATGTGTGAAGAATGACCAAGCAGTGCCCCTACCAGAGAACGAGACTGTTTGGGACTTCTTGGTGAAAATAAAGTATAAAACTAATCAGGAGTCAGAGGAGCCTTCGTGAAAATTGTCACTGAAATAAAACGGTGCTTTATAAACAGGCAGCTGTGCTCTGCTTTCAAATTGTCTGGAAGATCATCTTAATACAAATCTAATTCATTTATGGTAAATGGAAGCCAGCTGTTACCTGGTTAAGCTTTCCTCCTGTCTCAATAATTATAGACTCCCAGGGCTGTCATGAGCTTTTCCTCAGATACTGGCCTGTCGAACTCCCCTCAGTTGCTGAGATAACTCTTGTTATGCCATTGCCTAAGAGTTCATGGTTTGGATTGCCAGCTGAAAGGGCTGGTACAGATGAAACACTACCAAATGTAGGATGCGTTCAGATACTAGATTAAGTAAGAATCTGGATAAGCTGTAACTGTAGTTAATGCTTTTGCTGACAAAATCTTTAAGCATGGTCAAGCCCTGTGGCAGGAGAGAGGGATGGGGAAAGGTAGCCATGGTCTGCTCCCAATTGCATAGCCATGGGTGAGCCATTGGCTGCATACGGTTTGCATTGGTCCAAAATGTGGAGATCTTACCTTCCTGAGATCTGATCATAAGGCTCGCTTTTGTGCCATGTAGGCAGCACTGAGTCCCCCACCCTACCCCTGCCTTTCATATCCCCACAGTCTGCCTTGTAGTTACAGATCTGAAGCCTGTAGACAGGAATGGCCAGCCTGTTCAGTTATAAGCACTACTGCTGAATGTTAAACTCTTCTTGGGTGGTGCAACTTCTAAAGTAGGCTCAGAGCACAGTCTTCTTCACATAATATATTAGTTTTTGGATTTCGCCACCAAAAGAGATGGTGTTGGGCACTAGCTTAGTTGGCTTTAAAAGAAGGCTAGGCACAGTCATGTTGGGATAGGTCTATGAATAGTTTTTGGCCACGGTAGCTAATTTAAGCCTCCAAGTTAAGAAACAGGTTAATTCTGAATCCTTTTGCTGGTGGAGGTGTTACTACCAAGAGAGAGCTGCTGTCTCTTCTGCCCACTTCTGGATTCCTGGAAGCATCTGGTTGGTCACTGTAGAATGCTGAACTATGTGGACCTTTTGTCTGTCCCAGTAGGGCTGTTTCTGTGTCCTTGTCTGAGGTGGGGCTAAAGATCAGCTTGCTGTTGTTGTCTTCGTCTCCTCCCTCTCCTCTCCTCCTCCGCCTTCAGCCGCTCTCTGTCCCACTTGCTTGTGGGAAAGGACCTCGCTGTCGCCCCCATCGCCTTCCCTTTTTTGGTCTCCACACATGTACAGAGGGTCCTGCCACACCGTGTTCGCTTTCAGGCGACCATGCCACTTTTTATTGTGATCTCTCTTTTTTTGACACCTCTTGGGTGCTTCTCGGCTCTTTGCCTCGGCTGTGCTCCTGTGGTGGTGACCTTGGCCCCCGCCTTTTCGGCCACCGCAGCCCCCTGTCTTTTCTGGGCTTGACGCTGGAGATTAACTGACCTTTACTGTAATCTTAACTATGTTGCATGCTAATACATCCTGTTGGTGACAGTGGGGTGGAGTTAATGTAATACATGTATGATTGTGCTGTTTACTCTTATATAGAATTCTGTCTCCTTGGATCGTTTTTAAAGGGCAAAAAAGCAAAGAGGTTTTGATCCTTTGCTGAGCCATGTTCAGAGCTACAGTTTCTAGATGGTGCAGCTCTCACTGTTCCATTGCTGAGTGTGATTTCTTGCTTAACAGGATCTGCAGATGATGAAAGGATACTGAGATTCTTGGAGCTGGCTGGGCTGGTGAGTTATCAAGAGAATGAACTGCATAATGTGTTGACTCTCTTGTCCCATTTTTGTGGTACACCATAGGAGGAAAGTGGCTGTAAGTCCTTGGCCAGGTATAATGTTAATATCAGTGGTCAGTTCATAAAAAGAGGTGCTGGTAGAAGAAGCTTCTGCCTGCCAAGAAATCACAGCCTCTGACCAGCGAACCCTTTGTTTTAATTCCAAATATGTGAGGTAGACTGCAGTTAGAGAAATGAACTTGGTACATGTTCAGAGGTACACGCTTCTCTATTTCACATTTTAAAGGCTGGGCATGGATGCTTGAAACTGGTCTCAAGGTTGAGCCCTGGCTCAAATTAATGTCCATCATGTGAGCAAAATGAGTGAAAACCCTTCTGATGGCACGTATAGTGGAGGCATGGTTCCAGAGAGCAACAGGAACTGATTACAAAACAGAGCTGATGTTGGTCACTGAATGGGAATGCTGGGCCAGGATTGGAACAGCAAAATAAACGATGCCTTTATTGGCTGTATTCACCTTAGCTGAAGAACACTAGGATAAGTTTTGCTTGTCATCTGTTGTCTTCTGTAGTCTGATTTGCTAGCGAGGACAGGAGGCTTGGACCAACCAGTGGACTGGAACTGGTAAGTCTCTGCAGTGGAGTGGGATGGGCACATCTGAGCCATTCACGCAGGGATTTGACAGCGGCTTGAAGGGGGAAGAGAAGTCATGCACGACAGCTGCAATTCAGAGCCCTTCAGGCACTCTTCCACTGCCGGGAAGCTCTGACTAAGCTTTGAATGTTTGTCATAGTCAGTAACAGGAGAGCCCTGGTTTTGAGCATGAGTTCCAGGAATAGGTATCAGCAACCATCTCGCTTCCTATCTTGCACCACCTGTCGAGACCCTCTAAGTTTTCCCTAGGCAGGATGCAGAGATCTGAGCTGCATGTTGGGCAGAGTGAGCAAGAGATGCTGCTGCCTGTTGTAGAACTTGGGGGAATAGTTGACTAACTCTGCTGCAGCTGTGCGAGCTGTCCCTTGTGGAGTAACAAATGCTGCTGTCCAGTCCACAGTGCAGCTAGCCCACAAGATGGTCCTAATCACCAACTGCTGTGCTTTTTGCTCTTGCCACAGGTATGATATCCTGTCCCCAGGAGAGATGCAGAGGCTGTCCTTTGCCCGTCTTTTCTATCTCCAACCCCAATATGCAGGTGAGGAAAGGAAATCAGACTGGGAAGGAATAGTTAACAGCATCCACACTGAGTAATATTCTAAGACGCTTATGGGAGCTGTGGTGATGAGGAATTCTTCAATGGTGATTGGCTGTCTCAGAGGCGGACTCAGAAAAAGCCTCCAGTTGCCACTGGCTCAGCTGTTGAGATCCTAAAAGGTTTTATAAAAGCATCTGAAAGGCTTACTTCCCTGTGACCAGGGTCCTCCCATTCTTGGCCGCCTTTTGCATGAGGACAGGATCTCGTACCATCAGTACTGGCTCTTGGGTATGATGGACCCTCCTGGTTTTCATTCACCTTCTCCCAGCAGCAAGATACAAAAGATCACTTCATTGAGCTACTAAGATGTTCTCTGTGTTTCCTTCCTGTCTCCTTGCTACGCTGCAATACCCGTGCAGCAACCAATAAGAGCTGTTGATTAGCTGTCTGCACCTCCTTCTGATGCACTCGCCGCAGCAAATGAACTGCGTGTTGGCTGAACAGCACCAAATTGTATTCTGAATTTCGTTATCAGCTAGTGGAGTATTTGCTTTAATTGCAGTAATGGAATGGCTTCCTGGGGGGGGGGGGCTAAAAATGGCCACAAAGTGTGGGGGAGGTGAGTGGTTAACCAGCTCTAGTGTATGACTTGATAAGGTAATGGACACAGCCACACTCAAAAGGAAGAGACTGGAAGTCAGGGGTTGCCTTGGATGAGCTGTGTTGAGGCTATTCCTGGTTGTTATTTTTTTTGTTTGCAGTGTTGGATGAAGCAACTAGTGCACTGACAGAGGATGCTGAGAATGAGCTGTACAAGATCTGTGCTCAGCTGGGGATGACTCTGGTTAGCGTGGGGCACCGCAGCAGTCTGGAGAAGGTAGGAAAGGGGAGGGACAGCCAGTTGATCTATCAGTCCAAGCAGAAATGCTGCTGTAAGAAATGACAGGTGGGTTTGCAAGCTCAGCCAAGAGGCAGTCTTGCAACTGAGTTCTTCTTCCCAGAGAAGACAGTATTGGGGGCTAAAGGGGGAGCAGAATGAAAGGGAATCTCCCTCTGACAGCCATGGGTCTCAGTTTGTACTGTCTTCTGAATTTCAGTTCCATAGCTGGATACTGAGACTGTGTGGAAGAGGAAAGTGGGAACTAACAAGAATCAAGCAAGACTGAGCCAGTCATGGATGGCAGGAAATGGAAAGAAAAGTTCAGATGGGAGAGTTGCCAAAGTGCCTTGGAATCCACCATGCCTTAGGGGTTGAAAGAGGTCTACCTGCAGGACGAGCAGGTGCAAATGAGGTTTCTGTGACCTGAAGACATCTGTTTCCTCCTGAAAGAACAGGGTGGAAGGGCAAATTTTAATTCTCTCGCTGCCTCGCATGGAAAATTTCCTCCAGCCCGTTGTTCTGTTTTAATGTGTTTCTGCCTGAAGATTTTACTTGAAGGGAAGAGGACTCTTCTGCTTGTATCTCCTTTCAGTGAGAATAACTGAATGATGTTGAAGAGAACTGGATAGAATTATGAGGACTTGTTCCAAAGGTTCCACAGCCTGTGCATAAACCCTTCTCATCTGTGCCTGAGAGAGAGGGGGGGGGGCTTTGGACCACTGCTTTGCTGCCTGGACAGGAATATCTACATGGCAAGGCCAGTGTCTCTACTCTGCACAGGGATCTGTCTGCTCTTGGCATATGGACAAATTCCATGGTTACTATAGCAACCTCTGCTTGCTCAGGAACTTCACCACTACAGCAAGAAAAGAGAGCGAGAGAGACGTATTCTACATTGTAAGTCCTGTACGCCTACCAGCTCTTCATACGATGGCAGTAGATTTACTTATGTTTTATGTGGAGGGACAGAATCTCAATTGACAAGGCTGTAGGAACCCCCAAAGTTGTAATATATACGCACACTTTCCAGCCTGGGAGATGGGTGTGCAGTAGCAGGTTCTGTGGGTGCAGCAGATGTGATGCTCACCTAGAAAACATTGAAAATTCTCCTTTTTGAGGCAGATGGACATTCCTGTCCTGTGATGGCACAGGAGCAGAGCTGCTTGAAAGTTATAGAATATAGCTACATGATAGAGAACCTGTTGAACTTGTGCATACTGCTGAGAGAGAATTCTTGGTGTGTGTTCTTTCCCTTTTTGTGCTGTTTGATTTTGTAAAAATTGGTTTTCTGGTCCTCATATGAGTTAAAATTAGAATTAAAGCTTGAAAATGTATGTTGTTATATACAGGTTTTAAAAGTCCAGAATCCAGGAGGGGTCAGTGTGACGCCTCTGAAGGTTATCACATCAGACTTCCACACAGCATCCTGTTCTGTTTCTTCCATTGGTACAATTGTAGTGCCTTCCCTGTTCTCCTCTTCATCACATCACATCATACACAGCCAGTTTGATGTAGTGGTTAGGAGCGCGGACTCTAATCTGGGAGAACCGGGTTTGATTCCCCACTCCTCCACATGCAGCTGCTGGTGTGACCTTGGGTCAGTCACAAGTTCCCTCAGAGCCCTCAAGGGCAGTTCTCGAGAGAGCTTTCTCAGCCCCACCTACCTCACAGGGTGTCTGTTGAGAGGAGGGGGAAGGGAAAAGAGATTGTAAACCGCTCTGAGACTCCTTTGGGTAGTGAAGGGTGAGGTGTAAATCCAATCTCTTCTTTTTATTCTTCTGTCTCCAAAGCACTGAGTGGTACAATCAGGAAGTGGGTCTGAATTTGGAATGGCATAGGCAAATACCAGCCAGTCTTGTCTTGATGCATGAGGGTTTTTAAGTTGGAATTTAGGGGTATGTAATACACAACCCTGCATTTCTGTTATGATATTGTATAACAAATCTAGAAGTGCTTTGTACTACCTGGGAGTGCTTCTGAAGAAGAGAAGTCTGATGTCCAGTATTAAGCAGCTCATGCTTCCTGTTCCTCAGTTGTTGTTGTTGTTCAGTCGCACAGTCGAGTCCAACTCTTCGCGACTCCTCAGTAGGCTCCCTATAACTCTTGGGCAAATAGTGTTTTTGTGGCTTTGTCAGTGGCTTCTCATTCCTAGTGAATAGGCCGGCTTCCTCTTTGGCAAAGGATTGTTGAAGGGGAATGGGGGACTGCTGCTTGCAGAACATTTGGGTGCCTGGAGATACAGAGCCACCTGAGGTATTTGGGCTATTGGCCCTACTTTTCTGGCTGAAGTTGCTTGTGTCCTTCAATGAGCTCCTTCACTGCCTCATGATCATCTAGAGTTGTCAGATCCCCTAGCTCATTGGCTTTGTTTTCTACAATTTTCTTCAGAACCCGCCGCATAATCTTCCCCGAGCGAGTCTTGGGCAGCCGCCGAGCCACCTGAGCCAAAAAAATAAGAAGGTTAGAGCAGGTTGTCAAAACCTCCTTTAGCTAGAGGAACAGACCTGTATTAGAATAACGTGATCTCCTTCTTTCAGTCTCACTTACATGATTTTCTGTTCCTATAGATGTATTTTCTCCTGCATTATACATAGATAAGATAGTCCTGTTCCATTCCATCTCCTGCCAGAGTGGTAAAAGGGGAAAGGACTCCTTGTCAAATGCCTGAACATACATAAGGCTCTCTAAAGCAAGGGTGTCAAACATACAGCCTGTGGGCTGCATCTGGCCCCTGCAGGGCTCCTATCAGGCCCGCGAGCAACTAGCTGTCTGCTACTTCCTGTTCCTATTTCCTTCTCTGGGGCTGCTGCCTCACAAATTGAGGAGCCCCGGGCAAGCAGTTGCACAGAAGAGATTGACAGCCACACCTCCCTTCCCTCCATTGGCTGAGTCTCCTCCCCACTCCTGTAGGAAGAAAGGGAGGGGGACAGAAAGAGAGAGCGCACTGGAGAGAGCAGAGTTGGAGTCGGTTCCAGGGCACCTTTAAGACAAAGAAAGTTTCATTTCGGGTATAAGCTTTCCACACTTCTTTGGAGGGAGGGGGTATTCTTCTGCTCTTTGAGATCTGATTTCTCTCTCTCTGGGAATGAGATAGAAAGCTCCATTCCCTCTACTGGCTGAGTCTCCTCCCCCTCCTTCTCAGAGTGAGATCCAGAAGGAGGTGGGTGTTTTGGAGTTTAGAGCCATGTGGTCTGCTGATTGCAATGTGTTGCTGGGGCTTGTTTTTACTTCTCAGAGATTAGCAATCTCTGCAAGCACTGCTTCTGCCGTTGGAGAAGCGCAAGCAAAGTTCTCTCTACATCTCCCCCCCCCCCCCCCCCGTCGCGCTGCCGTCA